ATATATGTCAAGGTCAAGGTAATTGGAGATGGGTTTCCTAATATGCATATTCACAACCTAAACAAAACGACTATTAATGTGTGTATTTTGATTTATAACTAAACAAATTGTAATTCTATTTATTATTACATCAAAGTGAAGGAAAATAGCTTTGAATTAATTGTTAGAAGTGCAATTCTAAAATTCTAAATTATATATTATACAGGATATCCGACAAGTAAGTGACCAAACGAAAGGTGGAGGTAGATTGGGTCAAACTAAAAAGAAAAGTCTTGTACCATTTTTTTCTATAACGCTTAATAAAAGAGCTATTATTGAGTAAAGTCTGGCCCATCAGCGTCGACTTTTAGCCGGACGCACGTCAGTGAGCCGCCCGCCTGATAGTGTGCGTCGCCGTAGCGACGGAGCGTTCACGCACACTACCAGGCGCACGGCTAAAGGTCGGCGCTGATTGGACAAACTTAAACAATAATAACTCCTTTATTAAGCATTATAAAAAAAATGGTTCAGGACTTTTCAATTCAGTTTGACCCAATCTACCTCCACCTTTCGTTTGATCACCTACTTGTCGGACACTTTATACCAGCAGACAAACAAGTAAATATTTTAACAATACCAAAAAAAAAACAACTGCTTTTGTACAACCTTTAGATGTTTTCGGTTTTAGAATTTGGAAAAATTGTGTTCGATATTTTTCTGATAATATTATTTTAAATAATTATGACATAAATACATAGGTAGCGTGCGTCTTTATTTTATTTCTTAAATTAATTTCCGCAACATAACTTTTTCATACATCGTTGAATTTGGCGCAACATAAGCTTTAATATAATTTGAAAATTTTTTCAAAATATCAAACAAAAATATTGAGTGGTGGGTGTATTTCAAAAAATGTTACCGTTTTTGAAAAATCCAAATACGCCATTGTAAAGTATATTTGAAACCATAAAACTTTTGTTTAAAGAATTTTTTCATATTTTTTTTCATTTTGATGATATTTGTTTTGGACTGTAAAAACCAATTTTTTTTAAGGGATTGTTTTCACCCCTAAAACCGTTTTTTAGCCCCAACAAGAAATCGTTTCGTTATTAGGACCTATTACTCTATAATGAAAAGTTTCGGATTTTTTTTGAATTTTCGCGTTGCCGTCTCTCATGGCGTTCCTGATGGTGGAGCGCCATCTGTCTCGATTGATAGTGGCTTTCATTGCCTCCTTCATGTTGGTATAAAGCTGCTTGACTGCATCGGTCCATCGGACTGGTGAGTGACCTCGTCGCCGTTTCCCATCTGGCTTTCCCTGAACTATCAGATGTTCAATAGCCTTGCTGCGATTTATATGTCCGTAAGAACTTAAGGATTCGGCTGTACACATAGCTGGACATAGTCTTTGGGATGGATTTATTTCTGCCAATACAGACGCGTTTGTCCTCTTCGCTGTCCAGGGGATACGTAGCATCCTTCGCCAATACCACATCTCAAACGCATCCACGTGTCGTCGATCGGCTGTACGTGTCCACCCTGATAGCACAAAAATGCAAATAAAAATAAATAATAAATGAGAAAAATATTTAATTAATTTTGTACTTCAAAAATTTACATATGCACATACACACACGTATAATGAAGAATGTCAATATATTTAATTTTTTCACTTATATTCAATATATTATTTTTAAATTGAGAATTGATCTTTAATATATATGTATTATTTTTATATGTATTAATATGTATTATAATCAAACTTATCATTTTTTCATTTTGTGATACAAATCGATTCCGCTTTTAATGAAAGTTCAGGCAATAAATCGATTCGTTCAATCGATTAAGATAAAATTTGAACACCATCATCAAATATATGTTATTTATGTAATGTGTTGTTTTACGTGTATATGTTTAAGAGTGCATTCTACATGTACTTCCGCCTCTTCATCTAAAGTACTTATAACATTTAAAAATGCCTTTCCAGCAACGTTCTCCGCGATGGTGTCTCCCAAATAAATTCCATGTGCCACTTTTAGTCTCGGTATATATCCTACCTTTAGTTCTGGATTTTCTATTCTTACATAAAATAATGATTCGGATCGCGGAGCTACTATAATGGCTTCAGGTTAGGTAAGAAAGGTATGTTGATTCCGGAGACATCCAAGTGCCCTTGTGCGTAATCTATTTTCGATGAGGTTTGTTTAAAGAAATCGTTTCCTAATATGCCGGATTGTGAAATTGGAAAATCGTTAGATACTATATGAAATATAACCGGTATTTCGAAAAGAGTTAATGTAATTTCACCTAAGGTGTACACAGGATAATTATTTATGCCATTCAATTTGAGGATATTAGTGTAATTAATATTTATTTCTTCGGGAATTAGATTTTCTTTAATTATATTAGGTCCAGATCCCGTGTCTAGCATAAAACTTATACTAGTAGTTAAATTATCGATGTTGATTTGAACGGTAGGCACGCGACTATGTTTGTCGAGATTTACAGTCACGGGCCTTATGGTAGTTCTGTCCTTGTCTACTTGGCTACCTGAGTTTTGGACGGGTGCGGCTCTCGTTCGGACCCCTGCTGTGCACCCGACGTCGAGGGGCCGTTGTAGTTTCCCTGATTATTTTCTTTTTTTCGAAAATTACTGGCATGGCGTAATTGACAATTTTCGAGAAGATGACCTTGCTCCTTGCAATAGCGGCAGAATAAAGAATTCCTAGATCCCGTTTGCTGGTTTAGTTTTGATCGACAATCTTTAGCAATGTGTCCGAAGTTGTTGCAAATTTGACAAGTTACACGAGTTTTATTTCCCGCATAACGTTGTTCGTTCTGTTTCTTCCAGCAATTATTTGCAGAATGGCCGGATCTTTCGCACCATTGACAAATTACCGAGATTTTATTGTTATTAGTTGTATTATTCTGTCAGCAAGATTTTGCATCATGACCGGATTTTAAGCATAATTGACAAGTTATTATTTTCCCTTGAACTACGTTTACCGGTCGGCGTTGTTGTGGATCGCGAAAGCAGCATTTCCCTGCTCCATGCCCACGTTTTTTACAAATTTGACATACTAATATCGCGGTTCCTAAATCAATCTGGTTATTAATTTGTTGAGATGTTTGTAAATATTTCTTGCAGTTACTGCCTACGTGCCCTTCTTTATAACAGATTTGACAAATTTCTTTTAGACTGTTAGTTTTCTGTCTACCTGAACTGTTATCTATTCCCTGTCGAAAATCTGTCATTTCTCGGAGCTCTCTCTCTATCCTTAAAGCATCGGCTGCAGTTTCTTGTACATTTAATAAATTTCTTGCAACTCGTTGTTCAATCTCTGGTTTTAACCCTCTAATAAAGCACTTGCACATGTCCTTTTCTAATGATGCTTTAATATTTTGGTCAGACGACACGTTTCCCGAACTTCTATATGTTTCTAAAATTTGTTTTCCAAGAATCTTTACTCTATTTGCATAAGTAATTACATCTTCGTCACCCTTTTGATATATACAACCCAATTCCCCTTGTAATTGATAAACGTTTTTTGCTGGTCCATAAATTTGTTTTAAATATTTAGTTAATTGAGAAACGCTATCAAAATCTTGACCTTGTATAGTTCGGCGAGCCTCCCCTATTATCCTGGTTCTTATTATTTTGGTAAACTGTGATTCAGCCTCACTAGGCAACATAGATTTCGCTTCTTCACATCGTTCTTCGCCCAATGGTTTTAGGCGCAAAGTCGGAACATGTACTTCCGCCTCTTCATCTAAAGTACTTATAACATTTAAAAATGTTCCAGCAACAACGTTCTCCGCGATGGTGTCTCCCAAATAAATTCCATGTGCCACCTTTAGTCTCGGTATATATCCTACTTTTAGTTCTGGATTTTCTATTCTTACATAAAATAATGATTCGGATCGCGGTAAGAAAGGTATGTTGATTCCGGAGACATCCAAGTGCCCTTGTGCGTAATCTATTTTCGATGAAGTTTGTTTAAAGAAATCGTTTCCTAATATGCCGGATTGTGAAATTGGAAAATCGTTAGATACTATATGAAATATAACCGGTATTTCGAAAAGAGTTAATATAATATCTCACCTAAGGTGTACACAGGATAATTATTTATGCCATTCAATTTGAGGATATTAGTGTAATTAATATTTATTTCCTCGAGAATTAGATTTTCTTTAATTATACTAGGTCCAGATCCCGTGTCTAGCATAAAAGTTATACGAGTAGCTAAGTTATCGATGTTAATTTGAACGGTAGGCACGCGACTATGTTTGTCGAGGTTTACAGTCACGGGCCTTATGGTAGTTCTGTCCTTGTCTACTTGGCTACCTGAGTTTTGGATGGGTGCGGCTCTCGTTCGGACCCCTGCTGTGCACCCGACGCCGAGGGGCCGTTGTAGTTTCCCTGATTATTTTCTTTTTTCCGAAAATTACTGGCATGGCGTATTTGACAATTTTCGAGAAGATGACCTTGCTCCTTGCAATAGCGGCAGAATAAAGAATTCCTAGATCCCGTTTGCTGGTTTAGTTTTGATCGACAATCTTTAGCAATGTGTCCGAAGTTGTTGCAAATTTGACAAGTTACACGAGTTTTATTTCCCGCATAACGTTGTTCGTTCTGTTTCTTCATATATAAATTTATGTATATGAAAAAAATATTTATCATTTGTTCAAAAAAGTCTTGGTTTTCGAGATCTTTCTCCATATTTTGAATTTCTTCATTGGTTTTTAAGGGTAGAGCTATAAATTCCTGCAAAATTGACAATTCTTTATTCTTTTGAATAGTATTTTGATTTTCTTCTAGTTTGCAGAGCCGATCATCTATTGAATTTAATTTTGCCAATATTTGATTTAATCGTCTCAATATTTCAGGTAGCACATCTATAAAAAATATAATGCATATTTTCAGACACATAATAATTATTAGCGTAATACAAAAATAAGTAAAATTTTGTTCATATTAATTTATTGTATATAAAATATATGATTTTGTAATATAATATTTTACTAACTTTTGCCTGGAGTGTCTGAAGTGACTAAGGCCTCCTTTATAACATTTTTATTAGAAATAGGATAAACTTCTTCATTTAGCATTATTTCGTTGTTTGTTGGTTTATTGGCAATAAACGATTTTGGCAATGACGGTGGTGATAGAAGAGTTTTTTCTTATTTATTTGTTGATTTTCAGAAATAGTGTTATTGTTTTGATCACTGTCTTCAGAAGCTGATGAAGAGTAATTATTTCTAAACATCCTTTTTGAACGTGATATACGTTTCTGATGTGAAATGTCGACGTCGGAAATATCCAAGTCGGAATAATCTTGGGCAATTTTCACTTTTTCAATTCCTGATTCGTACGTATCTGAAAATTAACGGAGAAGACAAAATAACATAAAATATTAATATTAAATAACACATTAAAATTGTTGTAAAATAATTTACTCACTTGAGGTCCCAAAAATGCGCAAAACTTTGTGAGTAATCCAAATACAATCAGGACTAGTTTCTTCGATAATTGCCATCCGAATTTTCTTTTCGCTCGTGTAAGGCGGCCAGTGACACATTGTTTTATTGTCAAATAACCACAATGATGGCGCCAACTGAAGTCCATCGTCAAAAAGCGCTATTGTAAAGCGCGATATCTTCAATCTCCTGAAAATATTTTATTTAAAAGAGGTAAAGAAATGGTGCCAATGTTACGTCCAGACTCGGGGAAGGATGAGTCGACGGAAGGGCGCAACAACTATCTTTATTTATCCCGAAGTCAAACGTCTCGTGGCGTTTGGTATCGGGTCGAACGAACTGACAGATCCGAAAAGCAGGTAAACGACTGAGTCGCTATTACACTGTTTTCGGAAGTTCGCTCGGCGGTCCCTTTTCGGTCAGAGAATTTAATCTCTTTTACGCGGGATGGGACCAAGTGCGATCTTTCTACTGGGAATGAGTGGGGGTTAACAAAGATTTATTTAATTAACAAATATAAATTTATTCAATTTTAAAGTGAATGATGGGTATACATGATTATATAAGATAGAAAAAAAAAAAAAAATATAATATTAATTTAAATGATGGGTATACATGATTATATAAGATAGAAAAAAAATAAAAATATAATATTAGTTTTCGTCTGAATGTGTGTGAGTGTGTGTGTTAGTTCGCGGGTGTTACATTGATACGGAGGTCATCAGTCAGAATACAATGGAACGATTTTACTGTTAAATTTAGAATCTGACTGGGTGATACAAT